AGTGGTATAGTTCTGCTTTAACAACTATAAAGCAGCAACGGGAACGACACCTTTCTACGCGAACTACGGATTCCATCCGCGGCTGGAAGGATCCATGGAATGGTAACCCAACTAAAGAGCTACGGTGGTTGCCACCTAAATACACAAACTCCACGATAAGCTTAAAACGGACATTGAGTTCTTATCGGATAGGATGGCTAAATACGCGAACAAGAAAAGGATCGAGGGACCGACCTTTTCCGGGGGGGACCCCGTTTACCTGGTACGAAAAAACGTCAAGACAAAACGACTAAGCACGAAACTGGACTATACTAAGTTGGGACCGTTCAGAGTAAAAGAAAAACTTGGACCAGTGACATATTGATTAGAGCTGCTAGGAGATATAAAGATCCACCCCGTATTCCACGTATCGTTACTAGAACCAGCACCTAGGAGTGCTAAAATTACCGAATCTGTACTACTGGACAAGGAGCTTAATATAGAAGAGTACGATATAGAGAGAATCCTTAAGAGGAAGACCGTTCGGGGCCTTCTACATTACCTAGTTAAATGGTTAGGGTACGACGAGTTAGAAAATAGCTGGGAACTAGAGACGAACCTTATCCGGGAGACTTTATAGAAGGTAAAGGAAGACTACCCCGAGTAGTTCTAAAGGAAGGGCCCGGCACGAGGTCCTCGGCGCTAACTGATGAGTGTAGACCTAATAAAGTAGGACCATTTATAGACTAATCTAGCTCGGAAAGAAGGGCTAGCTACGCGCCCTCCTCCCCTATAAATTCATCTAACTCATCCAGAGCCCGGGACTCCTAAGAAATCATCTCCTCTTGCTTCTAGTGAACCTTATCGAGCTAACGGTCGAGCGCGTCAGCCTCCTTCTAGACCGCTAGCAGCTCCTAAGCTAGAGACCGCAGCTTCGCGCGGGCCTCCCTCTTCTTTTCGGCAAGGGCCGAGCGTTGGGCCTCCAGGGAATTAAACTTAGCGTCGGAAAAAGTCCCACCGTAGGGGACGTTCTTCCGATGACAGGCGGAACAACGGACAGAGCTCTTATACACGATATACATAGAGCCGGACTCGACGCACTGAGGACAGAGAGACATCGTCACGAGACCGAGACGATCAATACGAGCGGCGAGACGGATACGACGTTCGGTGGAAGAAGTTTTCGAACTACGAGCCGGAGGTATAGTTAGCAGAGAAAGAGAAGTTAGGGACACCCGGAGCGACACGACCTACCTTAAGTACATTAAGGACAACGACTAGGAAGGAGGGGGACAGTGTTATAGGGCGGCCTTATACACGACCCCCTACAAGCTAAGGACAGAAGGTAGGGCGAAGGAGTAGAAAGAGCAGCCTCGCGCGCAAGGCTAGGCATACGGGTCACGTGACGTGCTCTAGTGCTCTAGAATGCTCTACCAGCAGAGCAACAGAGCACTATAGAGCAGGGTGTAGGACACACGGGTATATATACGCTCATTGTCAGACAGTCTAGTTACACTCCTTCGTAGCCAACTCATGTCATCTACTCAGACCCACCTTTGAGTATCTTGTCACACCTAGCCGTCTGCTATACCTCGCCCCTGTGTCGTATCCCCTACAACCCTACTTGAGCATTGTGACTGGAGACCTGACCCTTACCGGTTAGTCGAAAGGAGCAGCGCTGACAGATAGCTGCAACATAAAAAGCCAACCTGAGACCCGGAGGCAGATGTGATGTACGGAGGACCACATAGCATACATCTAATCTGTAATTACAAGAGGAGGGGATCGTGGGGGCGGGGGCGGGGGCGGGGTAAATCCAGAATGGCGGCGCTAACCTGACAACACCATAGTGGAATATCCAAGCATAGACACCCTCCTTCCCGGCCTCATTTCTTCTTGGGCGTCAGGTTGGAGGTCAGTCCGTGACAATTACCCGCTTCAAGGTACGGCAATCTGACATCTCTCTAACCTTGCCAACTGTATAGCACGACATCCTGGCGAGTGTCCGACAGACTGACACCGCGAACGTGCATCCAGGAGCCTAGGCTTGGATGCTTTTAATTGCTCCATGCTACGACCAACACAGCAAGAATCCGCCATTGTCCACGGCGACGGAGCCAATGCGGGGAACTGGCACGCGAGCAATGTTTAACAAGATCCAGGACCGGCCTCGAAAGAGATTCTGACGTAACTGTCTCCCTTGGTGCCTTTCGTTGCATGTACATGACAACATTTGCTCACAATTCCTAGCGGATACAAAAAGGTAAAGATGGCTACAAACACAGCCTTGTCACGTGTTGCTGATAGACATATCACGTGTGTAATGACACATCATGTGTGTAATGGAAGTGGCTGTCACATGCCTCTCCTCAGTTTCAATACCGGGGCGAGAGTTGTCGAGATGTAGGCGCAATTCGTGTCATGCTTGTGTTTTGAGATCGCTCAGACCGAGAATGCCGGGCAACGGGGATTAGAGGCCACAGTTTTGGGATCTCTGCACACAAGCAGGCGGTACCGATGATAAATTAGTTTGAGGCATGGTGGATCTGAGAGAATATTAGGTAGGAGTGCCTTGCTCGATACTGTTAGTCTCTACTCGTTCCCCCTGTCAGGTCCTGCTAGAGTTACGAGATGAACTTCTTGCTCTCGCCTTGCAGCTCACCGGAGATGCTCGACGTCCTTGTGCTTGTGTGATGACTGATGCGGCCACCAATTCCGAACGTAAGAGGCAGGGCTCGATTCCTGGCGAACCCGAGGACCATTCTCATTGCAAGATCATGCACTGGCAGTCTCCAGTAGTGTTCAGCAATCAGGCAACTTGAAGCAAGCCATGCCGAGGCGAAGACCTTGCAGTTGATTCTGCTGCTGGTCCGAGTACTTCTTCGTGAATTGGATTAGGTATAGGTAGACACCAGCTTCGCCATAGGCATGAAGCAGAGGCATATCCCGTGAAGCGGCGGGAAAGACTGTCACGCCCGACAAGAATGGGTACGGTATATCAATGGGGGGCAGTGCTAAAATATTAAACCCACCGCTATTCGACGGCCCAGAATTGTAGAGCATCCACCAGGGTTTATTGCCACCCTTAGCGGCACGATACGTAAAGACGTTGAGACCAGCACCGTAGAGAACTAGCCGTACGTCCTGCTCGCAATAGGACCTTTGCAAATCTGCGACCATGATTGATTTAGCTTAGTGCTCGACGCACTGACGGACCCATCTTCGCAACGCATCTGCTCCGAACATGCCTCATTGATGGGACCCCTTTTGACGACGTCCTCCCAAGTCCTGTGCGCTTCAAGGTTGCCTGGATAGGTCAGAAAGTCTCTCCGTGTTCGGGTTGGCGTGTCCTGTGTGTGCACGGTTGATTGCCTCGAAATGCTTCTTCCATAGCCTGTCTACCGTGACTAGATGTTAACGTGGGAGCCTCTGGAGTCTTCAAGGTTGCTCTCCTACTACATTAGAGCTTCGGAGGCAGTGCGAGCATAGCGTCCAGCTGCGTAACTTGCGTGCGATGCCGGACTTGGTCTTGGGCGCCAGACCGGCGTCACCTCATGGTGCCCCAGCTCGTCGTTACGTGCAGCCTCGTCGTTACGTGCAGCCTCGTCGAATCCACGTCACCAGTTACCAAGCAGAGACTCAATTAGACCTTTGAAGGGAAGCGAAGGAAAGCGCAGCGTGATCACGCTGTACTCTCCTTCCTAGCTTACTCATACCGCCTACCCATACATACCTTAGCATCCAGTTACCCTCCACTGTATTCGTTGCTCGTCTCCGTGTCCCCCACACTCCTTACCTTAGAGCCTTGTTACTCGTGGGCTTCGTCGAAAGGAGCAGCTCTGACACTCGTCTTCATGTGGCCCGATCCGGCAACAACGACCGTCGAATGGGATGTGCAGCTGTTCGTCAAGCTCGTGTTGGGCAGGACGCAAGCATCTGGCGAGCCACCTTGCTAGAAGGGCACCTCTTGGTGTCTGTCTAGTTGAACGTATGTATGATTTATCTCAAGGCTAGATTGCAGCTACTAGCTAGCTATGGATGGAAGACAGTAACCGTCGCCTGTTCTACCTCAAGTGGTAGGTACACTGGGTGCCTCCTGCTAACATAGTTGCCCTTATTGAAAAAGATGTCATCGTCCTCGATGACCGTAGAAGCTCCAGCCTGCTGTTTCATCCATGCCCAATCGTGCGTTCCAGCCTGAGTAGGTTCTGATATCGGTTGGTGAAGAAGTAAGCTGAGTGCTCCGCTGGATCCTGAAGCATGATTTGCTTCGGGTCCAGTCAGCGACCTCCGGTATATCCTCCCGGTTGCCACTGGTTGTCGCTCGGCTGGGCAAAACCGTGAGGACCGTGTGGGGCTCGACCAGCAGGTGGCGGGCGTCGCTCGGCAACGGGCGCTGCCCCGCGCTGGTATTCTTGCTCATACAGCTCTGGTCGGTACACGTTCTCCAGCTCCACGGTGTCCAGTCGTCGAGAGCTGTTCAGACTGTCGTTGGCCCAACGGCTCGACAGTCGGTCTGATTTTCCATTTCAAGGCTGGATACCTTATCTTGCAGTTCGCTGAGCTGTTCCTGTAGCGCCAGAGTCCGAGGGCTCACTGGGCTTGTCGGTCCCGGTCTGGGCCGTTGGTGGGCAAACGGTGGTCCATGAGGTATCTGGCGAGCCACCTGGTTGGCACGGGGAATGGAGCTGTCTCGCTCTGTCAATATCATATCTTGGTTGTTACGGAATACCGCCGTGCCACCTCGATAGCAGTGCTGTCATCGCGAAAGGGCACGTCTGAGTGATACGATACTCTGGCACCCCTCCAGGAGTGACGGGGCTCATTGAGATAGGTCGCATGGGGCTGAAGGGTGCCGGTGCTTGCGTGGTACGTTGTGCTGATGCTTCGTGACTTGTTGTCATACTCTGGTCTTCAGCTTCCGTAGTTCTGGAGCCGGTGCATGGTCCGAGCGCTGACGGCGCCATCAAGCAAGGCTTAGCTTTTCGCTACGATCGGTGATCCTTTTGCGCTCATGCCTTCTAGAAGATTTCTGGAGCGGCCGGATGACTGGTGTCAGCCTCTGATGGAACGATGTATAGTCCCATGTCTGTACGGACACGCGGATAAACGACCGAGGGTGCGGCTCCGCAGTATACACTCGGCTGGGGCTCGCTGGGATTCTTTTGAAACTGCTCAAGATTGTTCATGGGGAAGTCCATCACGAAAAAATGATTCGTCATATCTTGAGCGATGACAGAAAGCACATTGTCCAAACCTGTGGTCTCTGCTTTCGCCCTTGCACTTGCCTGGTTGAAAGCCCAAAAGCTTCATCTGTACATCGCGACGGTGTGAGAGATGCTTGAGGGACATGGGATGCCGCCTGGAGTCGCTCAAATTTGCCGGACCAGGTGCTAAACGGCCGTCCGGATAGTCGTATGCACCGGAATAGATGCCATTGCCAATCAGATTTGCTCGAAATTGCCGCTGGAAGCGGTTATTTGAGTGCGGTCGGTCGACTTTGACGAGGCGGAAGGCCGTTTCCGGCGTTGTAAACTGGAACGATCACTCATTGTGTCAGCGTCCGGAAGGGGTAGGCTGGCAATTGCACAATCATCTATTGTGAACATCTTGTGAATCAGCTAAGTGTGAAAACGTGACCCCTCAAGGATGAGATGGATCAGGACCATCACGACGAGCGAATACTTTGAGGCGTTGACGAGCTCCCCTCTTGGGAGAATTGTTGTTCGGTGTCAAGGTGTACCACTGCTGACCTGCCTCTTGAATGTGCCTGCTGCAAACGAGTAGACCAAACACTGGACAGCGTGTTCCATGAGCTGGAAGGGCGACGGTGATGCTGAGATTGGTTTTCCAAGCCAGTCCTTTGCTCTATTGCCCTCGATTGAGGCTTGAGACCCTCAGAATGTGTCGGAGATCGTCGTCATTTCTCGACTTTTGAGGTTCACGAGGCTGAGCATGAGTGGGAGAAGGGGAGAGACGCGAAGGTAAATGCGGCAGGATGTGGTGTCCAGAGAGGAATGGCCTAGCATCCCAGGTTAGACACGACTGCATATAGAGAACGAAAGCGTGGTAGGCCATGAGTGCAGTAATTCGCATCAGCTCGTCGTATTGAACGTATTGTCTGCGCTGGATGGAAGTCGGCACGCAATTTCAAGCCTCAGCCGCCGGTTAAAGCACCGGTCGATTTATAGCGAGCCGTCCGAAAATTAATCCGCTCCGAAGGGTTCGCGGACCCGCTTCCTGCTGCCTGCGCCTCAAAGTCACATGACAGTCGGACATACCTTATTCCGCAGTAGAGAACGAGACTGGTGGATCCTCGTGTCATGTCATCAAACACCATCGAGTGAGCAACGACAATTGTATGATATTCTTGGAGTCTCGACACGTAGGCTGACCCAAGACATAGATCAGCCTTGAGTCGCAAGGTGACCAAGGGCCACTGATGATCGGCTGACGACCAGACGGCCATGGCTAACAGCACGATCTGTACTCGAGCATACTCCAGAGGCGGTGCTGGACAACTCGCCTCTGCAAAGGCGCCGAAAGGAGATCCATTTCCCGATGCTGCCTTGCTTGAGAAGTCCTGAAATCATGGCACAGAATGAAATCGAGAGCCCCTGTCATTGGTGTCATAAAGTGGTCGCATCGTCGACTCTCTGAAGCGTGCTTTTGACAGGCGCTATGAGGATTGCGAATCGTCAGCAGACATCTGAATCGCGTTCATCCTGGTCCAACCAGCCAGGACTGAAACTACAGTCCGAGTCCATTTCGCAAAAGAGCATACTGAAAACACGACCTCTCGGGAACCCAATTCAATCACTTACGAGGTATGACTGTGCTTCTGCCAAGAAATATAATCGGAACACGAGAATACCTCGTCCATACCATGGCCACTGCGGGTAATGAATGCGTCCCCCACTCAGGGCCCCCTTCCGGAGTTCCGAGATAAAGAGGGGGTGGGGGTGGGGCAACCTCCGCTATACCATTATCGGTTAGAGTATCTCCCTCATTCGAGATCAATGCGAAAACACGTGCTGCTGTGCTTTACCGATGTGAAAGTTACGGATGGCATGTGTCGAAGAATCCACATGACAACACCGTTGAAAACTTCTCACTTCAGAGGCAACGTCGGCATTAGGTGGCTAAACGCATATCAGAGGTTGGGACAAGAGCGTATCTTCAAACCGAGCATGCCGTTTTGAGCCGTGGCTGTGTGATTCTGAACCTTGCTTGCAGTGGAGTAAATGATGCGCATGAAACGCCAAAAGGACACAATACTGGGAGAGTACGGAGTAATTACCATTACTTGGAGAGTCATGTTTCCGGGTCTATTTCATCGGCTATTTCTGCCGTGGGCCTCTGGAATCGTATTTGCCCAGTTTCGCGACCCCTGGTAGTTTACTATGGTACTTCTATGTACCTACTAGGGACCACGTGCAATCAAACCACTTTGCTCTCCCCTCACCTTGTACCACGTACGAGTGGACTGGTATGAATGGATTATGCTGCACAGCGAATCGACGACTCGAATGGCGATCGGCAAGGACTTTCCTCAGGAGAGTATGTCTCGTCCCCTGACTGCCTACCAGTTCGGCTGCCTCGTTTCCGGGAAGGAGTTCAAGAGCAGTCATGCGGTTAAGCTCCCGAGCAAGGCAGACTCCAACAACCGGCCCTGAGCCGATCATGTTGGCAACGAAGTAGCGGCTAACTTGGGACTTTGCCGCGCAGGCGGGCTTGTGGGGTATAAGAGACGATATTTGGCAAGGAGAAGAGGATGATGGACTTGGCGGAGGACTGAACAGGCACAGAATAGTTACGTTGCAGGCAGACAACTCAATGGCTTGAAGCCCTGGTGCTCGTGGCGGATAATCAAGCGTCGTTCCCTCGGTTGAAAGGCTGGATGCACTAAACAGTGTAGCCGCTCCTTTGCTTGGGCGATACAGGCTCTTCGGAAAGCAGGAGCATGCGGACGACGCGACCCAGAGGAGGGAGGACTCAAGCCGAGCGCGAGTCAACCAAGAGCGTTCGGTTGACCTGCTTTAAAATGGCGCTGCATCAGGTTGATGAGAATGTCGAGCCTGCTGAGAGGGGATTTCTCTTCAGGTAGGGAATTGAGAACACTGGTGGCTTCGTGGAGGGAGGGAACGACGCCGTGTATCCTTGAGTGGGGTTGGACGGTACAGAAATTTGTGCTGTTGTTTGTTGGCCCAGGGGCAGGGCATTCCAATATTCACCCTGTCAGACTCATGGGCGACCTTTTTCGAATTAGCAGCAGCAATGAAAATGACGGGAAAGAGACAATTGAAAGCGTCGACATTGACCCTTCGGGGAGTTTCGTGTCTGTTGAAGGTGTGTGCGAAAGCACCGAGGTAAATTTGAAGTGATGCAGCTCCTCAGATAGGAGTCACGTGTATTCGGGTGACGTAGGCGATGCGCGGCGACATCCGACGCGTTGTCATGAGACGCGGCTGCGCCATGAACACCTGAAGTTCTCCCAAGAGTGAACCATGTTCCGCAACCCAATGCCTTGCGCCCGGTTGATATCATTCACTTTTCTGATGCGACTTGCATTCTGTGTCACGAATCTATAGCATTGCTCCTTGATGCACAACTGCGCAAGTACCTTGGAAACAGAGTGCACCCCGTGCTTCACTAATCGATCGTTTGGCAGTCGAACGACCAACCCATACCTTCAGGGTGGTGGCATGTCCTGTGGCTTGTCTCTCTTGCGGACAAATAGCAGCACAACCAAAAGCCTGGTGCCATGTCTCTTGTCGAAACATCCTTGCCTGGAGCAATGGCACCGAAGCTTCCCCCACCCGCGATGACCTCCTGTTGTATGCGGAGCAGACACGACCAAGATGGAGGGCACGGGCGACAATCCAGAAGACTGCATATTCATCGGACGCGCTAAAAGAATATACTTCTCAGATTCTCAAAAGCAGATTTTCAGATGAACTAGCCGAGAATCTCTCCGGCGATATCCTGTTGTTGATCATGGACGAACTAGGACTTACACGCCTTTCCGGTATAAAAGACTGCTCGAATCTCATGAACAAACTCCGCCGGGCCTCACCAGGACTCAGGGTCTCATTGAGCCTCCTAGGCCTCATTTTTGCGTCGACATTATCGTTCCGTGGCCACACTTATATCTCGAAACTCGGCGAATGCCGCGACCGGGATGTCGAGAAGCTTAGGGGAAGACTTCGAAGCAGCAGTTGTCGAGTTGTCATATCTCTTGACGAAATAGGTGTCCGGAACGTCCAGACATTCGACCCAGAGGCGTCGAATATCCACCCGGACAGTGGTCCGTGGTACCATGTTGTTGAATCAAAGCCTGGATCGGTCTTCGAGTGCATTACCGATGCAAGTGAACTGCTTATTGCTTGTAAGCCATCTAACACGGATGCAGGGCTTCTTGCTTCGGGACATTTCCCCAAAATCAACCATGAATTATTACAGTCCGTTGATTTGGGATACTCCAAATCCACCTGAGATCACGCCATCAAACCACTTCTCCTTACCTTCCGTCCATGTATCCCGGTCTAGTTTCAAGTTTATCTCTCTAACAGTGGAAGCCTTCCTCCTGGTGGCGCACTGCCGAGCCGGGAAGATGTTTGGTATCTGTGTACATCACAGGGCTCGACCCTGTCTAGATTGTGGTACTTGCGATGATCTCGCCAGGGAGAAAGAAGTCACACGACACTGTTTTCCTCTAAACACGGAAGAAAATATCCGGGGTCTTTGGGTGCGCACTCCGAAACTCGGCTCTGCAGAAGCGCCAACTCTCATCGTACGCCGTTGACTTTTGAAACTAATGGCCATAGACTGACTTATTTCTAGATTCAGACGACATCATCACGACTCCGTACATTCGGCTACTATTCACGTACGAACCATGACGCCTTCGAATATCGTTCGTTACTGGGTCCAGGTAACGGCTTTGTCGTAGGCATCTACCACAATGCACTTGAGTCTAAGCGGGATTCTATCATCGAACTTGGAGTCGTATGCACTCCAGTCGGGCCCGACTTAGCTTTGACTTCTCTTCCCGCTCTCCCGGCGTTTCATGACGCTCCCACAAGGTCCTGGGAGTGGTATTTGTCCAACGCTTCTTTACGTGACCTTCGTGGCATTACTTTTTACCCTAGTGCTGATCAGAACACACCATCCACGTTCGCTGGTGTCCTACTTCTGTATCATCGCGACAAATGGGATGCACTGGGTCAAATCTACTGGGATACCACTGGTAGAGAAGTTCCGCGCGAGACTGCCCAATATCGCAACTTCAGAGTCAAGCACAGGCAGTATGTCGAGTGGAGGGTGGTAGAACCAAACCCTGAGGACTCAAGAAACCACGATGGCGACGATGGCTGGAGCTTCATTGCCGAAACTGGCACAATAAGGTGGTGGTCTGGGAGGCTCGGAGATCGAGTTGTGGTTGATTCAACTGTTGTGACGTGACAAACTGTGAAGGTTGACCGCTGAACATCGATGACACATTCAGTTCATCCGAATGAGAACATCTGCTGCCGTGTACAGACGCTCCTTGCATCACCTCAAGATCATTCTCGCTCGACCCAAACTCATTTACCCGGTAAGAGTTTCTTTAGGAGACCTCTCATCAGGCTCTATCCCTCTACGGGCGACTGGTGGAAACCTCTTCATATGGTCATATCCTTCTCGTAGCTTTGTTGCCTCCGTAGAGTGCACTTGGATGTATTGCGACCGGTCTGCAAGAGCTGGAGATCTGAACAGAGGTTCGAGATAATGTGCGCGTCGGGTATGCAAGTCCAGATCCTCGCCTTGGTTCCAAAGCTCGTCACTGCATATATTCTGGAGATCTCTGGGTGTGCGGCTAGGTAGGAAATAGAGTTCCCGTACGCTTGATGTTCCACCGTTTCGATATCCGAATTAGAAGCGTCTGATCGCTTGAGCTCGTGATGATGTAAAAGTTCAAGCAGGACATCTCCAAGATATTCAACCTTGAGATCTGTTCTGAGGGACGGCTCCAGTACGGATGGTTCGTTCTCAGCACTAACAACCCATACTTTCCCCGGGAAGACGTACTTGCAGTAAAAATGAAGCCAGAATTTCACCGATACATTCTCCCTTGAACCCTTTTCTTGGGCTTGCAACCAAAGACGTAGAAGAACCTCGTCTGTGACCAGCGACATGGCAAAAAGATTGACGATCTATCACGTACGTGAGAATAGTTGGGACGACAGTTACGAGATAGTTGTGACTCCTCAAAGTTGGTGCTGGAACTGTTTCATATACACAGGTCATGTCAAAGATTCTTTAAGTGTTGCCAGCGCGCACATACACAAGGATGGTGCATTATAACGAATACAGTTGCAAGTAGTGGAGCTGACCGCTCCGCTTCTATCCTATAGAAGCCGAAGATTGACGAGAAATATTTGGCCCTGCTATTAGCTGATGACAGTGCAGCTCAAATAATTGGATTGTCCTCGGCACATGATAGTGGTGCGTGGCACAAGACTCCCCATCGCCCGATGATCCAGGTCCAGGGGTCAAGCTCAACTGCAATTCAATGGGCATCCGACACGACGAGTAGGAGTCTGCCACGAGGTTGCTGGTCGTGAAGAGGCGTAGGCACCGGGGCGGAAGATGTCGAGGGTACTCGTAAGAGCCGGCATGTAACACCCGTACCGGATTGCATGATCGGTGTTGCCAGGAAGTAGCCAAAAGCACACACGAGGACGTTCGAAGAAAGAACAGCTCGCAATATTTCACTTCGTACAGCACGTTAAATTCCGGCCAGAAGAATGTACAGTCGCACGACTGTCATTCGCTATCGGAGGAAATTGACGACGAGAGACACCCGGCAAATCGATCTGTCTGACTCTTTCGGAGGACATGATGAATTCAGAGGGGTTCGGGAGAGACCTGACTAGGGATATATGGTACCTAGTAGTTACGGAGGCCAACGCAAACAATACGGTACTGGGTACAGAGGGGCTTGCAGTCCAGAATACCCTCTTGGCGCTGTCTGGCTAGCCTCCGGATAACCTTCCCGATCACACTTGCGCAGGTAGTATTTCACGTGCACAGTGCTTGGCAGCGAACACTGCCAAGCCATCATTCTGCCATTCCCACACACAGATAATTTACACAATGACAACTACAACGACAATTGTCCCTCAATCGAAAAAGACACGCTCATGGACTCCTAGGAGCTCGGACTTGCTCACAGTAGTCACGTGTAACTCAAACCTTGGTTGAGTCATATACGAGGAGCCAGCTGAGAGTCTCGTTGCTCACCACCACCGAATGGAAAAGCCCAACTAGTGAGGCAGATACCGACAGTCTCCATCCAGCTTGTGACAGGGATATTTGTTAGTTTGGAAATGACGGGAAGGATAGGCGACCAATCAGCGCCACAATATTGGCATCGCTCGGTCCCACATATCTATGGCACGGCAGGGTCGGCTACTCGAGATCCTACTGGGTAGTACCACGGTCCTTTGTTCAGCGCTTGTGATAGATGGCCTGGGATGTTGACCTATCGTCTCACCGGATCAAGAAGTGCTGAGCAAAACAATGAGACATCACTTGTTTCTGGAATTGTGATTGGTCTTCGCTCACTGCAACCAGACCCTTCGAGCAGAAGATTACATCACGGTACCAGAGGGAAACTGTGCCCAAGCTGCTGCCTGGCTTCACCCACTTATCAGCGCCCGCTTTCAAGAGACGATCGATCCCTCTTCAGCTTGCCGGCTTGACCGCCATCGTGGAATCACCTGGGACTAACCATATTCGCAACTCCCGCCATGGAGCACAAAGTTTGCCAGATCCAAGCCTGCCCGGCATGGGTCCATTCGTCAAATGCGGCAGCGAATGCCACTGTCCAGTTGCATACGGCTTGCAGGTATGAGCCTACCTTCTGCAGAGTCAAACCAGGGTGTGCTGACTCTGTCCAGCTTTGCGAATTCAGTCACCGATGAATACCTTTTGAAAGTTGCTCGACGCCTTCAACCACATTTCTGCTGGCACGCAGAACGAGGCAAATACCAGAGGAGGAACTCACACAGGCAAATAAAAGCTGGAGCAGAAGGTTGAGATCCAAGTGAGATCTGTTCTGGCCAATGCGCCACACAAGATGTCGACTTTTCTTCAGACATGGGGAGAAAGTCAAAATCGACAAGGATGAAACTCAGAGGACAGACCTCGAAGGAGTGCTTTCCTCGATACTCGACATCTGGGTGAAAACCTGCAGCCAGCATCTCGATGCCTGTCGCTTTTAAGGTTTGAACAGCAGCCATGCTCGCGTTGCTCTGGTCATTGTGGGTGCTGAGTTGGCGCAGTCAGACCTTCAAGGTGTCGTTACTGACCCGTCTTGCCAACACCAAAGTCACTCCGCGTGCCAATAGGTCCTCCGACCATCCGTATCTCGATCCGGCACGCAAAGAAGATTGATTCTGATTAAGTAAGACATCATCACTATAGCCCAGGTTGAATGGTGCGAGATGCAGCACGATCGCGTTCTGCGTCATCCGGTTTTCATTCTGTACCATAGCCAATACCATGTAGTGACAGCGCCGCAGCATGGTGGATCGTACGTTGTGCATGTCCGACGACAAACAGCCCAACGCAGCCTGTTGCCACAGATTGGTTGCATACCGCCAGTTCGAGATTGCAGAAGGAATAAACTCAATCAGCCGGCCAGTCGACATCGTCCCATATGTGTTGAGAACATCGACGTTGTCGACACCCACAATGGTAATTCAAGGATCTTCTCCATCCCATCGCTCTACTTCCTCAGCCTGAGTTGCTGTGTAGCCGTTCACAGATGTTTGCGTTGAGTGCGTCTGCAGAATGATCCCCTTCGTGAAGAATGGTCAAGTCGTGATTGATTGTCAAAATCATGCCAGGGAGAATGAAGCGGATAGTAAGTCGCCTCAAGGAACGGAAGAGAGGAGCCGTCGGGCTGTCCCATTGATAATGGCCAGGGCATATGGCCTTCGATTGGTCCTACCGTCGCTTTGAAAAGAAGACTTATGCAGCCAACGAGGCCCAGGCATCTTTAGCGTTCGCGGTGGCGTGGCAAGCTAAGCAGCAGCGGACCTGACCGCTGGGGCTTCTTGAACGTCAAGCGACTTCATCTTGCCTGATTCAACAACGACTCAGCTTGGTTGCATCCGAGATCGAACTCCCTGACCCTGTCCTGCCAGACTGAGCTCCACGCAAACTGCGGATCCTCGGGAAGACATCTGCTCGTGCATGCACTCTCACTTCCGTCCTTGGCTTCGACACTTGCCAGATACCATGGCCCATTCGAGTTGCATAAGACGTTCGTGTCCTTTCCCCAAAGTTGCCGACCACATTCCCACCAGTCGCTTGAACTACGAACCGAAGATCACAATGTCCTGCACTACGTGTTCCTCTTGCGAGGCGTTTGAGAACACAAGCGACAAACCTAAACTATCCACGGTACGTCGCGGATCGGGCCATGCCGTCGGGTCTAATCTGGTCTAGGCACGTAACAAGGCGAATTTGGAGAAAGGGCGGCAGACACTGCATTCCGCCTATACCGGCCAGCAGTCGATCACCGAGAAGGAGGAGATTCAGCAGTACCGTGACCTGATCCGTTGGGCCGAGGAGGATCATCTGGAGGATTTGAAAGCGACCCTCCAGCACATCCTTGACAGTTAGATTCCACGAGGGTGAGTCGTTTCAGCAGCATACTTGGGCTTGACACTTCCTACCATCGTGTGGGTTCGTACATGGCCATTGATGACCAAGGTTTCACAAACGAGGTTACTGACTCCGCTTAAGTCTTCAGCTGCCTACGATTCGTTCGCCTTGGTTGGCTCGTTCCTCCGCCGCGTTCAATCGTCATGCCATGGGAGGAAAAATGAAACAATTCTACGTGATCTTGGTTGGTGATGTGGGAACAGGAATCTTTGAATTAGTTCACCAGGTGAGATGACCACCGACATGGAACACATTCTTTTAATGTCGCTTGCGGTTCATATGAAGTGGAATTCTTGGAGCGAATCCAGCATGTTATGGGACCTGAAGTGGGCAATGTGAATATCTACGATCTGGAGGACCCAGTCAGGCAGACTCCAACAGCCTACGCAGTTGTATGCGTTGTCGGCAGCGCCGTTTTCCAGTTACCTTCACTCACTTTCGGGAAACTGGCAGCTTGATATGCTTGGTTGGCCCCCGTGAGGATGTCAAACCGCAGCAGTGTCGTCGGCGGCAACCCCTGAAAGATGCTCATGATATCGAGTCTAACCTATTCCTTGTATGTGTGCGCGTATGTCAAAGTCCCCGCAAAGCTAGGAAGCCAAGGGATTGCCTCTTGCGCCAATACAGGTCGTACCTGCACCCGAAAAAGCCCCATTGGAGCTCCCTTCGCAATCAACAGTGCTCGCTCGGGGCGCAGAGGACAGACCTATAGCTAAGAGTGCTGGTGTCTATGACGAGAGTGGCGTGGCACTGGCCGTTGTCAAACGATGCTGTAAAATGCCCTGAGGCTCTCGACGTCCATGAATTGACGTATCGCTACGACAAAGTGGGCACAGACAATCAATACTTGTTTCTGTTTCTACTCGTTGTACTCTGGAAGAGGGAATCCATGATGCGGGCTCCTGGACCATAATGACGAACTTCACACTGATATGGGCGTTTTGTTGGTTTGTGGTGTTTGTGGTGTTTGCCGATTGTCAGCCATTTGACTACTGCAGCGAGAAGTATACTTTGGGCCACCCCTTGCCTACCAGCACTTGGTACTTTCTTCTCGCCTCCCCTTTCACGTGCGCTACATGTTTCCACTGCCCTCACACTCATACCCACGACCCGAAGCCGCCTCCCCCCCTTCTTTGAACTGCGATGTCTTCCATTTCAGCTTTGTCATGTAGCCCGATGTGTACTCCATGCCTCTTCTAGGGGAGGGGATTAATATACGATGGAACTTAGACACAGCCAAGCCAATAGCCTTCACCAGCTAGGATACCTGAAGGAGCGCAAGAAGTTCTACTACCGTGTCTATGATCATCGAGACCTGATCCAGAGGCGTGTAGCCCATCGCCTTGGCTTACCTTCTCCTTCAGCATGTCGTAATGAGGACCCGAAGCCATGGAGATATGTGTTCTTGAATTTGGGTGCCTCTCCCACTGTTGAGGACGGAGGACTGTTTTCATCCGATTCCCACTGCCCCACTGAATTGGTGATAACGTCTGTCCGGGAAATGGTGACGAGACCCTCCGATGTAAGACCGTAACTTTCGCGTGAATCTAACAAACCTGTACAGCGGTGCGGATCCTCCACCTCGAGGGATTTGCACTTTCAACCGGCCAGACTATACGTTACGTGGAGCATGGACAGTGACAGCGTCCCCTCCCGAAGGACCAAAGCTTACTCTTCCATTTCTATACATTGCGCCTCCAGCATCCCTGCCACCCCATGAACAAATTGAGAAGCCAGACGAAGCACTTAGCGACAAGATTGGCCGCAAATTTGTCCGTGTCGGGGCTCACTTCGTCCTCAAATATGGACATACAGTGGATCCGATCGAAGCAAAGCTATGAACTTTGCCGAGAACGCAACCTCAATCCATACCCGGGAGGTCTGGTGCCTCGTCGGCATTTTGGTTTGATGATGATTGATCTGACATGGTTGAACGCGTTCCGGAGCCATGTCCTGTGGAGTATGCATGGTAAACATGATTTTGAATGGGCTTTGGACTTGACGACAGACGGCCATATGGATCTTCTTTCTACATTCGCAGCCTCCAAATCTCAGGAAAGCCTCTCTAACGAGCTAGCATTCAGCTGCCTCTTAAGATGACCATCCTGGTTTCTATGGAAGGTGCTTTTATATCGCTAAAGAATCGAACTCTCTTCGCCTCCTCAATGTCGCCAACCCAATTTACGGGGACTTCGACGACAAGTCACGGGTGTCTTATTCCTGCCCCACGTTGCAAGTGCAATCTTCGGGTCTCCAACGCTCGCAAGGATCGTTCAGTTCCGAGAGCCGATGAGAATATTTGCAAGTCGCTGCTCGTTTGGACGACGCGTCCAAAATCAAACGGTAGGGATGGGGGGAAGCGCTCAAGGTTTCTGCGACAGGTGATATTCAGCGCCGAGCCCGTGGGAAGTATGGTGATTGGTTCCAATAGTCACGATTCGGCCTGACGCTTCGGCCTTGAGACAGTGTCAGTAATCAGTGTTAGAGTAAGAGCACATAGAGAGGCTTCCAAAGTCGAGAGGGTACACAACTACCACCAGTCACGACTTCGGCCCACTACTACATGGAGTACAATCGCCAAACAATATGTCTCATCGACATCTTCCTGCGCCATTTTAGAAGTAATATGGTGGCTATGTGAACGGAGCGCTTCGAGCCATGACCAATACAAGCATGTGAAGTCCAAACTAAACAATGACTTTTCCAGCTTCTCATGTTCCGACAGCATTGTGCCAATTGTTCCCTGTTGGCGCAATCCGGGTGCGGAGAGGATCTGCGCTTCCCCGTGGGGAACATCGCCGAACCAAAGATATTAAGGGGCCACGCCCGCTGCCTTGAAGATTAGGCTGCCAATCAAGCGCCCGAGGGCAACTAGACTGCGCCGAGTGATTGGTGTGATTGGTGTGATTGGTCTTCCTAGGTAGCTGGGTGAAGGCACATGCAAGGCGCTTTGCCACGTAACAGGGTGCGACCAGACCTGAAAGTCGGACACGCACCTCGATTTCCCGTAGACTCGTGCTGTTCAGCTTTGTACCCATTCAAGACACGAGAAGAGATGGCGCCGTCACCGATTACAGAAGACTATTACATGATCCTGGAGGTGGAGCCCACGGCCGAGCCGCAGCTAATCGCGAAATCTTATCGACGGCTCGCGCTAAAACTCCATCCGGACCGGAACGACAAGCGCGACGCTACCGAAGCTTCGTGTAGTGTGTGCTGACATCAAGCACGAAAGCTCGGACGGGCCTATGAGACATTGAAGGACGAAGTCGAACGTCGAGCCTATGACCTGATCTATCCCTCTTTGAAGGCAAGTTGCCCGCAAGCACCATGTCCGACGTCTCGATCAGAAGCATTCAGCGAAGCGGCGCAACTCGCGGCAATTCAAAAATCGAGGCAAGAGCGCAGTACATGATGGCGGACCCAGAAGAATGCCCTCGATTCCTCGATCTTCGGCCTTCAGCGAAGAGTTCGGCAGTTGGAACAAGAGATCAAGAATCTGGACAGTATTTTGGCTGCTGAGAGGGCAACTGAAGCACAGAAGAACAGCTGGGGAACATGGTTGTTATCACCATTCTACAAGAAAGTAGAAGAGACTGCGAGCGAGAAGGCGCGCAAGGACCGAGAGAGGCAAGAGAGAAGGATTGAAAAAGATCTGAAGGAGCGGTGGCTGGAGTCGAAGAAGGCGGAGTTGAAGTCGGAGGGAACTCGTTTGCGGACTGCGAAAGAGGATGTCGATGCCGCGGATCTGCGTGACGATGAGAAACTGCGGGTAATTCAGGCCAAGATACGGGCACGAGAAGATCGCGAGTGGCGAGAGAGGCTGATGGCCGAGAAAGAGAAATTTGCACAAATTCGGCGACAGCAGGAGGAGCAGCGGAAGAAACAGGAGCAGGAAGCAGCAGAAGCGATGAGAAAACAAAACCTGGAGAGACGCGAAGCACAGAGGCAATACGAAGAAGCGAACAGAAGGCGGCAGAAGATTATTGACGATGAGGCCGAACGGCGCCGGGAACGATACATGCATTTCGAGTCCATGGGGAGAGACACTCGCGCGACTTCCACGTCGAATTGCCGCCACGGCGGCTGGTGGCCGAAAATACAGGGTTCTACAGCATGCCCAAGATGCTACGAACGGTGGACTTATCTACTGCAATGCCCGGGCTGTGGGATCGAGGCATGTCCCAGGTGTCAAGCTTCGATCCGGCCAAGGGGACGGCATAATGCGGCGAGGACGGATCGAAGAGCGCCGCGTCCACGGGTAGCGACTCCGGATTTCGGTCACGACGATTGCTGGTAACCAAAGCCGGTAGTAATGGGCTTTCATTCTGTACTCTCTTTCCACATGAACTTCATCCGGCAGCAATCAACAGGCGTTTACTCACCCATCCTACCGACCCTGAATCTGCAAGGCTGTGAGGTATTCCCCCGGGATCGTTCCGTCTGTTAACATGTCTCTTTGGTCAAGGTCTTCAAGGCCAAGGGGCTGGAAGAAAATCCTGGTCACCCGGAGAAGAATGTCGGGTCCGTCTGAAGGGGGCGTTAAAAGAGATTGAGGACGGCGATGGATGATGAACAGTGCTGCATGGGCCTGCACTTTTCCAGGCATCGCCTAATAACTCCCGCAATGGGGCGTGCTGAGAACGACCGTACGGAGCGTCTTCTCCTGCAAATGCCACTCTCGAAGGCAACGGTTTCTGTGTCATTCCTTCAAGAACACTGCTTTCTCCGAAGACTGAGCATCCGCGGCTCCCTATACCTTTGATGGCGCCGAATCTCTGACTACAGCCTGAGCACCATCGTACTCCGAAGGCAAACATTTTCCAATGACCTGGGCAGATTGGAGATGATACTTTCTAGGAAAGGAAAGTCACTTTTGGCGTAATGCTATTCGATTTCCTTGTCGCTGAATTCGTCGTACGGCGGGAGCCTGGACATAATCTCATAGGTCAAGGAGCCGACGGCGAAGAGCTCGGTTCGTGTAGATTGAATCGAACTGGTAATTCCTTCTACGTTCCAATATCTACCCTTGAGGACTGCTTCCCTCTTCAACACTGAGCGAGGAGATCAGAGCTGATATTGGCGGGCATCTTATCAGAAAGACTGTCTGCCCAACCACGTTCTTCGAGTTGAGAGCGGATATCATCGACGAATCTTCTGGCGCCTATTCCGTATCGTCGGAGCAGAGGCATAGATATGCTCCAGGGGACAAGTGATCGGGCTGATTTAAAGCAGGCCAGCTCAGCTGTACACAGCTATCTTAATAGAAGAAGAGGGTACAGCTCATAGCACGAGACCCCTTGGGCTATCAGGGCCAAGCCTCGGGTAACCTTCCCAGTCACATTACTGCTTTGAGCTGCGTCTCAGTCACACAGTCTCACAGTACACACTATCATGCTTTATGGCCCCGTCAATAGGTACCGGGCTGTCATGTCCGAACATCACGAGCGCAGAAATGGCAACTTCCCGTCGCTCCCGTTCTTCGATCTATTAGAACCAATATTTCCCGAGTCGGTTGCGAAAAGCGGTACATCCTCCACATCGGAGTAATACATCTCGAAAATGTCCCTGTCTTCCTCCGCTGCTCTGTCATCCTCCATCTTCCCTCACGCGTCGCTTGGTCAGGAGGGATGCTCCGCGAAGAGTTCGATACTCGGGCAGATGGGGATGCAGAATGTCAACCTGGCAGATGCGAGGAGGCAGCCCTCCACTACTCTGACACGATCCACACCTGTAAGCGTCGCAGACTGTGTGCATCCAAGCGGTCCCGAGGGCATCCGAGGACCGGAAGTCGTCCGCAGGGGGATCAGAGGGAAATTCGACTACGCCTTGGGATTAGTGCCGACGACGGTCGAGATTGTGGAGCTCAACTCACAACCAGAAGTTGAGATCTTCCCGACCCCAGGATAGCGAAGCTCACCCAGAGAGACCCGCGTAAGGCGACCAGCGAAGAGAAGGACGAGTTTCTTCGAAACACAGAATCAGATCCTTGGGAAATGAGCCAGGGCGGCCACGAATCTCTCCGTTGTGTTCCGGACGGACGATCTAGGATGGCAACACACAATCCCATTTTATTCAATCCGTTGCCGGCAAATGAAAGTGGTCGCTCTTGCGGTTAGCCGGCGTATCGAATGCACCTCGTGCCCTGGCATCGCTGTGGTCCTATCCTAGGCGAAAGATCCGGCACCTCGAACACGTCGATTCGCTGGCTGGCTATTCTCCACAGCAGACCAGTGTGCGCACAATGGCAGGGATTGCAAGGAAAATCCACAGAAGCATGCCCGGCCCCAACGCCTGCTCAGGGGACAGTTGCCTTTCCGGGAGATGGATTGGCCATCAAACTCGGATGTAGACCAAGCTCGCTCGCTGACAAAGTCAGGGGCTTCAAGGCGTCGTCGGGATCCTGGCACGCCTGGACGCCACATGGTTAGGGCAGCGGACGAAATCGGTGTCCTGAAAGCGGCATTCGTGGTCTAGAGCGTTTGTGTGCCACGGATCTCCAAGCGCGACGGGTCACAAACCGGCATCAACTGGGTGGTGGGGACGACCGAGGCGTTGTGGCCTTCCTGATTCCCTGTGGAGACATCCCTGGCTTCACTGTGCTTGTCCTACGGGCTCGTCTTTCGAGCGACATCTTCTATTGGCACGCCGAACCTTGTCTGAGCTGGTGTGTGCCGTGCACAAGGTTGCGCACATCCTGAAATTTGTCTTCAGGTTGACCATTCCGGTTGATCTTTGAAGGCTTCGAAATCGATCACGGGATGCACATGTCATGTTAGTTGTCGACCTATCCAGGAAGCTCCTGTCTACACTGAAATTAGTGATATCGATCACAGCATGTGCGAGCCTGGCTTCGAAGAAGAGCATCCTGACCATGTCAGTCCACCCGTTATCCGAAATTTGGGGTCTTCGATCCTTTTCCAGTGATGCACTATCTCTCCGCCGTTCTGTGCATTCAGAAATCCAGAGCTCCCGCGATCGTTGAAGTCTCTACCCACCCACTTGTTCAGCGTCCTCAAGGAACCGCTGGCTCAAGCATCTCTTTGGCTCGGAGAACGCCTTGTGCAGAGCATCCCTCAACACCGGAGACCAAATTACGGATATTGCTCTCTGCCCGTGGCTACAAATTCCATCAGCTCTTCATTGGTGCTTGGATCAGATCTGAACCTGTTCCAGTCTCGACCTATCGCCAACAAACACGCCATTCCGGGCCATGCAATGTGCATTAGAACACTTATTCTGGATCTAAGCTGGCCTATCCTGGCATCTATTACACAAACACCTTGTTCAGTGGGGAGAAGTCTCTGCTATGCACCTCAATCAATTCTGTCAGGATGCTACGAGCGCTCGTCGGCTTCGGAGAATGAGTATCGGTCGCTGAGAGGTACATTGTCAATCTCGTCTTTCACCTGAACCAAGACTTCGAAGAGCAAATACGCGCTTCCAGCAGCTAACAATTCCACCTTATCACGTATCACCTTCGATGACGCCTTTACTCATTCCGGTAGAGACGCAAGCTTTTGGAATCCCAATACCTCCATAACAAATGCAAGTTGATTGAGCACTTTGGAGGCGCTGCATGGTTGGCTGAATCAGATTGTCTTCGCCCACCCGTCTATCAAGCCTGCTCGGACGGAACATACAGGAGAGCTCGGTGCACGGAGCTTCGACTTGGAAATGGAGGAGTGATAGGTCTTGGAGGGCGTCATGTGCTTTCCAATGATGTCCAAGCAGCTTTGAATCGTAACAAAGGCGACGAAAAGCCATACATTGTATGGACATGAGAGGCATTGCACCTATGCAACGGTAGGATGGGGTATGCGTGTACAGCGCTTCTTGGCTTGGATGTGTTAACACGATGACGGTCGAGATCTGAGCGTCATTCCTCGCATGAAGGGCTCATCTTTCGCACCATCATCGGACCAAGTTCGTCTTCTGACAATGTGTCCTCACAAACACAACAAATGCAGAAAAGGCAGGCACTGGAAAAAACATTCTACCCTGCCACGTCTCCTCGTTACCCCCTTTGCGATATGATTTTCGGCAACCAATTTGTATCCTGATGGCTGACCGGCATGTACTACCTTCCTTTCTTTACGCCGATGGCTACCCGAGCGAAGATTACCTCTTCACCTCAAGAATATTTCTCCACCACGTTACGCGGCGAGCCAACGCTTCCTCTCGCCACGAGACCCTCATTTGTGGCCTAGAGCCTCTGACGCTCAAAGACCCGTGATTGCGAAACGACCATGCCACCCAATACAGCTGCAGCTAGCGACCACCAGACGACACCATCAAATTCCTTCCAGAGCTCAAGATGCGACTGCACGTTCTATAACGTTCATCCACGAGCATCGGTCGAAGCCTTCCTAAGCAGATCAGCAGCAGCCAACGACGATAGACAAGCTCAGAAGCGACTAAGGCATCACATTCTTTCACCTCTTCCGACCAAGTTCATGCTTCCCACCAGTACGAACAAGTCGGAGCCAGGTGTTGGTCTCTTGTCAATCTCGACGGGGATGCCGTTCGAGGCACAAATAAATTCGAGACCTACCGCCTCAGTTTCCCACGGAGCTCCATGCCTGCTCAAGCCAATTCTCCCCCGATTCTGAGCTACCTCTACCTCTGTGCAGAATATCAAGCGTTAGACCTATGTTGGCGCCCGAGAATCACTCCATCGGACGAACCACAGCTCAATTGGCTGATGCTTCCTCATCACCAAATACTGCTTACACCCTATCGCCAATGAGTGCTGCGAGTCCGTCACACAACAAGAAAGCTATCAATTCCAGAAAATGTCCTCGAATTCACCACGCTCTCCGGGATGCCCTTCATCCGATCCATTCGTTTCAGGATCGGCGATGTCTGTGGCCGCAGACAAGTTTCACATTCCTACTAGTGAACCCCCTGAGCATATTGGCGCCGCTATCGATCGGACCGTTGACGCCAACATCTCCAAAAGGACCAAGCCAACTATCTCCTGATGGTTACGTGGTGGCAGCAGCAGCATCGGGCGCATGGTCGAGCTTCAAAACGTCAAAGCCCGCTCTGGCGAGGGATGACTTTTGTTGCACTTTATGCAGCGATGTGCGAATGGTTGTGTATAAACACATGCTGTATATCTGGCGTGGCTGGTGCTGTTCCCACGGATTCGGAAGCTCTTATATGCGTCCAAAACTGCAATCTGCAATGCACAAGACGGTCATCCAGATGCTGTTCTGGCG